TGCAGGTGAATGAGCCGGTGATATTGTAGCTGATCTGGTTAGGCCCTGTGATGGTGTTGCTGGTGTAGATATGTGGGCAGAGTTGGCATCGAGGTTTGTTGCATGGGTTGGTTCCTGAGTTAGAGTTGTTATGGTGCGATGCGTGGTTGCTGGTGAGAATATGCTTAAGGTTGGCGGGTTGTCTGTGGGCAAGGATGGGTTGTAGATCACTGATGATGCGTTGGAGAGGTTTAAGCTGAGGACTGTAGGTGATGGCCAGTGGAGTTCTGTTGGTTTCTTTTTTGGGCCTGTCTTGTAGCAGGAGGCTTCTGGGTACACGTCTGGATCTGTTGATTTGTTTCTTTATTTCCTTGTGTGGGTATCGTAGTTTTGAGAATGCTTGGTGAAGATCTTGTAGGTGTTGGTCTCTGTCTGAGGGGTTGGAGCAGATGTGGTTGTACCTCAGCGCTTGGCTGTAGACGATGGATCGTGTGGTGCGTCCGGGGTGGAAACTGGAAGCATGAAGGTAGGCGTAGCGGTCAGTGGGTTTTCGGTATAGGGTGATGTTAATGTGGCCATCGCTTATTTGTACTGTGGTGTCTAGGAAGTGGACCTCCCACGTAGATTGGTCCAGGCTGAGGTTGATGGTGGGGTGGAAGCTGTTGAAATCATGGTGGAATTCTTCCAGGGCTTCCCTCCCATGGGTCCAGATGATGAAGATGTCATCCATGTAGAGCAGGAAGAGAAGGGGCGTGAGTGGACGAGAGCTGAGGAAGTGTTGTTCCAGGTCAGCCATAAAAATGTTGACATATTGTGGGGCCATGCGGGTGCCCATAGCGGTGCCACTGGTCTGGAGGTATATATTGTCACCAAATTTGAAATAATTGTGCGTGAGGATAGTCACAGAGCTCAGCAACAAGTTGTGCTGTGTCATCATCAAGGATACTGTTCCTGACAGCTTGTATTCCATCAGTGTGTGGGATGGAATAGAGCCTCTACATCCATGGTGGCTAGGATGGTGTTTTCTGGGAGGTCACCAATGCATTGTAGTTTTCTCAGGAAATCAGTGGTGTCATGGAGATAGCTGGGAGTGCTGGTAGTGTAGGGTCTGAGTAGGGAGTCCACATATCCAGACAGTCCTTCAGTGAGAGTGCCAATGCCCGAGATGATGGGGAATCCAGGATTTCCAGGTTTGTGGATCTTGGGTAGTAGATAGAATAGCCCCGGTCAGGGCTCTAAGGGTATGTTGAATTGTTCCCTTGTTAGTGTAGGGAGTGTCCTGAATAGATGGTGCAGTTTCTTAGTGTATTCCTCAGGGAGATCTGAGTAAAGTGGCCTGTAGAATTTGGTATTGGAGAGTTGTCTGGCAGCCTCCTTCTGGTAGTCAGACCTGTTCATGATGACAACAGCACCTCCTTTATCAGCCTCTTTGAGGCTGCACATTGAAAAACATAATCCCAACTATATGTGCAATCTTGGAGTCATCATGGATAGTTCTCTGAAAATATCTGTTCAATGTGCAGCAGCAGCCAAAAAAGCTAACAGAATATTGGGAAAGGGCTAGTTAAAAAGACAGAAAATATCATGTCACTATCTAAATCCATGGTACACCAACACCTTGAATACTGCACGCAGGTCTGGCCACCTCATCTCAAAAAAGATATTAGAACTGGAAAAAGTAAAGAGAAAGGCCACAAGAATTATTACAGGTATAGAACAGCTTCCATATGAGGAGAGATTAAAGAGACCGGGACAGTTCATCTTAGAAAAGAGATGAGTAAATGCTTCAAACATGTCAAAAAGATACGAGCTTGTTCAAGAGCCAGTACCATCAATAGAGAAACCCCATTCCTCTACTGACTGTAGCAAGAGTATACTCCGCCAAGAAGACACAGGTCCAGAGTTGATTAATCCAGTAGAATCAAAAAGAGCATGTTGGATTTGGCTATCAAACTCTAGTAGAAAATCTCAGACATTTTCATAAGCTGAATGCACTTTCTATATTCATGGACATATGCCAATTAGATTATAGTTATGGTATTGAAAAGACTAAACAAGAACAATGGATGTTGGCACAAATCCTGCTACATCAAGTTTAACAGGACCAAACCTAAAAAGGCTGAAGAGAAAAAAAAAAGTCTGAAAGCTGACAAATAGCAGAGCAAATACACACATTTAAGTGCCCAACACAAAGGCCCTCCAGAAAAAGCCTGTTTTATTTGTGAAATGAACATACCATCAGAAGTATCAGAGGGGTAGCCGTGTTAGTCTGTATCCACAAAAACAATGAGGAGTCTGGTGGCACCTTAAAGACTAATGGATTTATTTGGGCATATGGTTTTTTACCCATGAAACCTTATGCCCAAATAAATCTGCTAGCCTTTAACGTTGTTTTTGTGGATACCATCAGAAGACCTCCATGAAGTTTCTACCCTTGGCATTAAGAGTCAAGTCTGCCAGTGTGCATTTCAGCTGAAAGACCAGCACTTGCTTGCGAAACTAAGTGCAGGGGACATAGTAGCCCAAGAGGCAAAGTATCATGCAAGATGTTTGGTATCTCTCTACAAACAAAGTCACGAAGAAGAACACTGACAGAGAAAAAACAGATGATGTTGCATGGGATTCCCTTTGGTGAACTAACTGACCACATACACTGAAGAGACAAGACTGAATAAAGGAATGGCTTCAGTATTTAAACTAGCAGATCTCATAAGGCTCTACATAGCTAGATTAGAACAGCTGGGGATGATACTGGCTGGGCACATTCACAGCACTGAACTAAAATCCCATATTCTTTCACACATTCCAGATTTTCAAGCATGCAAAGAAGGCCTTCAAACAGGATATTGGACATGCCCTCCAAAAAGCATATGAGAAAGACTGTGACAAAGAAGCACTTCACCTGTCCCAAACAGCTAAAATTATTCAGAGACATGATTGAAATGAAAACAGTTTACTGGATCATCTGACACAGGATACTAAGCAAAAGCTATGCCCAAGTCACTGATGTCCAAGGTATTGGATGGTCCAAAAACATTAGAACTCAGTCAGAACAAGTTTCCATTCATCCAGCTACCCTTACTTTGGCACAATAGTTACAGTACAATAGCAACATCCATCGCTGCGAAGGAACAAAAAGTTTGTACCACAGCTAAGCTCAAGAAATGCCTTTACAACAGAGGTCCCCAAAGTGTGGGGCGCACCCCCTAAGGGGGTATGGAGGAACATCCGGGGGCCATGGTGGGGCCCAGGCCAGCCCCCACAGGGACGGAGAGGGAGTACCAACCAGCTCTGCTCCAGTCCTGCCCCCAGCCCCGTCCCCAGATCCCAGCCCCGCGCCTGGCCCTGTCGCCAGTCTCGACACAGCTCTGCTCCTGATCAAATGCCAACCCTCAGCCGCTGCTCCATTCCCAGCCTGGAGCCAAGGCTGGAGGTGGAGCCGCACCTGGCACCTGGTCCCAGGCCGCAGCTGGTGGTGGGTCTGGGGCTGCAGCCAGGGGCCTTACTCTTGTCCACATCGCCCCCTCCCCCTGAAGCCGTGGCCCCACTCCTGGCCCCAGGGAGATGGGGGGATGACCCTCAAAAATGTGGGGACCACCACTTTACAATCTACATTCATTTGACGCTTCATGCAGAGACATGAAAAAACAAGCTAGTAGATACCTTTTTAAAAACTTTGATTGTCCATGTCCTATGACAAAGTGCTAGCCATTTCTACCAGCATGGCAAACAGTGCATGCCAACACTGAAGAGGAGAACGTAGTCTGTCCTTTAAAGCATTGTGGTGGCCTGTTCATTACTGTGGCATAGACAACATAGTCCATAATTCCAGCTCCACACAGCAACAGACTCCTTCCAAGGAATTGGGATATTACTTTTTCAGCATTGCAGTACTCAAGTGGAGGGAGTTGTCCATGGAATTCCCACCCCAGACAGACTGCAGCACCAGTGAAGAAGACTATATCATTTTCTGAGTCTTACACTATTGTGCCTCAACTGACCTTGAAGAAAACCATTGCTCCCATCCTTGCTGCAAATGCTGAAATCAAGACTGACTGCCAACTGATTACCCAAACCCTGCAAGAGAAGAATGCTTCTTGCCTTACTTATTCAAGCCACCCACAAGCCTGGATACCTTCAGTGGAGATCAAGCTATTTCCTGGGAAGCTTACCATGCCAGCAAACAGCCAGTGCCAGACATCACTCAGGTCATCACTGCACTTCTTCCCCACTTTTCAGTTGACTTTAAGTCTGTGACAATGATTCATCACACCATGGATGTACACCACCTAAACCATTTCAATCATAAATTCATTTAAAACATCAATGTCATTCAACAGACCTTCACCTCTGTGCCAGGAATTTACTTACGGCATTCAATGCACCTGCACTGTGCTTTGCCAAGAATCCTTCTACAGAGGTACAAGTACATCCTTATTTCCCTTAATGTTACTAAATTGGTCTAGGAGAGAACTCTATAGTGGCCCCAGAAGATAGTTCACTACTCTGTTGGGGGAGAAGCGGGGCAGCGTTTAGAGCAACTGAAATTAATGTCAGTGGTATTCTTTTGTGGTCACCAAAATGCTGAAATTATTATTAATTTTATTAATATGGGTACCACCAGACAGTAATTTAACCATGAATTCCTTTATTAAATAAAAAGGACAAATAGTATTTATACAATTGCTCTAAATGTCTAAATAATAAGCAATTACTACATTCATACAGTAACAAACATGCATAAGCATTTGATCAGAATACTCATGAAAGGATCAGTCCCGGGGATAACCCTCTCATCCTGGCTTGCTCCAACATGTTCGGATAGGATCGGCTAAATACCCCTATCAAGCCTTGCTCCTTTATAAAGTGCTAAAGCAACTGATGCCATATTGACCATTATTAGCTTAACTTAAAAAAAAACTTAAAAAAAACAGGTTTTGGCCTGTTTGGGTATGACCCCTTTCTTCGCCTTGGCTAAAATAACATATGGTAGCTGGGACTCTCTCTTAAATGTATGGATCTTAAAACTAGCTGCACCTAGCATTTTATCTTCCCACAAAGGCCCAAATTTTAAGATAACAGAGGTCTGTGAGACGACATTAAACATTTACCACATTTAAAAAACACTTCTCTTTGTCTGTTAGAATCAGTTTATAAACAGTCTTCTATAATTTATAGACTCTACCCAGAAGCCTCCTTTTTGTTTTATTAGCCATATAACAAGCTTAGCATCCTCTGAAAACTTGTCTTACTAGATGCCACCTTCCTCTTACCTCATGAGCCTATTTTTCAAGGCCTTATTAATTTGCTTAACCACCTACACAAGCTACGAAGCACACATATTTTCCTATCCAAGCTAAACTAACCTTACCTCTTCCATCCTACACCCTATAAAATTACTATAACTCGGTGGTTCTCAAACTTTATTACGCCACAAACCCCTTCGGACAATAAAAATTACTCTACGGCCCCAAGAGAAGGGACCAAAGCCTGAGCCCTGCCACCCCAGGTTGAGGGGACACGAGCCAAAGTGTGAGCCCCACCATCCCGGGTGGGGAAGCTGAAGCCCAAGGCCTTCAGCACCACGGGTGGGGGGGCCTGTAACCTGAGCCCTGTCATCCAGGCCTCCGGCAGTGGGGATTGGGCTTCAGCCCCAGGCCCCAGCAAGTCTAACACCAGCCCTGGGGTCCCAACCCCCAGTTTGAGAACTGCTGCTATAACTGTGATGGGAGAGAAGATACTCCCCCCCCCCATTTCAGTGGTACTTTGGGGATGTGACAGCAGTTTGTACAGAGACACCATCGCCGTTTCTCCTGGGTGTCCAGCTGGGTCCCAGTCCCGTGCGGGGCAGAGACCTTGGCTAATCGTTCCCCTCACTCTGGGGGGCTTTTCCGCCCTGCCACGAGGAGACAAGCCAAGCCGCGGCACGGCGGGATTGTTGCATCTCCCGGCTGGCGGGGGACAGGGCCGGAAAAGTGCGTTCAAAACTGTCCTGTTGAAAAGCGGCTCGATCGCAGCTGGCGGCGTCCCCTAAACACCGCGCTCGGGCTCCCAGCGGCCCCCGCCAGGCAGGAGAGCGCCGCTCATGCCGGGGCTGGAGCCGCACAGCTTTGGAGAGACCCTGGAGCGGTCCCAGCGCGGGTCCTTTAACATCGCTACGGCGTCGGGAAGAGGGGACGGCGCGAGCCCGTCCGCACGGAGCCCCGCACACCCGGGGGCTCTTCCACACGAGCCCCGGCAGCACCAGCCCTTGAGCCCGGCCCCTCCCCGGCGGAGAGGAAGGGGCCAATCCGTACCTGTCTGGCAGCTCCGGCTCCCCGCGGCCTGCGCTTCCCGCTGCCGCCGCCACCACCCTCCCGCCGCCGGCGCGCTGTCTCCGGACGGGAGCGGCGGGGTCTCGGGCCTGCGGCTTCCCCCAGGCAGGCTCCTGCTCCAGGGCCAGCTGGCTGGAGCCGTAGAGCAGCGAGCACAAGCCACAGCCCAGGCACAGCAGCGCCACGCGCACGTAGCGCCGCATCCTCCCCGGCGGCCGCGGCCCGACCGGCAGCGCGAGCCCCAACGGACACAGCGGCAGCGCGAGCCCCGCGTTGGGGTCACTGCAGCGCTGAGGTAGCAGCGTCCTCCGTGTGGGAGGGGGCGGGGCTGGGAGGAGCCAGGTGCCGGGGGAGGGGGCAAATGGGGGAAAGCGAGGGCGGCCCATGGTGGCGCCAGCCAGGGCGAGGTGATGGCGGGTCGGCAGGAGGAGGAGCTGCGGTACAAGGGGGCATTGGAAGAAAGGGAGCCGTGGCAGGGGCAGTAAGACACGGGGGCCGTTTGCACGGCGCTCAGGGTGTGTGTCTCAGCACCCAGCGTGGTGCGTTCAAAAGCCTTGTTAATTGCTGCAGCATTAAATAGTGGCTATTTTCCAGTCTAGCAGAGTCGGAAAACTGTGGCCGCGCTTACAACATACAAAGTAAAACAAAAAAAATCGCTTCTCCCCTCTCCCTGACTTGTAGGTGAGGCTAGCAGAGATGATCTGTCCGGGGGGACAGAAGTTTCCTTGGGTGGTTGCTTTCATTGCTGCTGTTGTGGTGAAAGGCTGATCCTGTTCCCTTTAAGGCAAAAAGATCACAACTTTTGTCTTGCAAAGTAGCTGCTAGGAAATTACAGACGCAGCACACAAACCTGAACAGCCATTCAACCTTCATTGGGGGGGGGGGAGTGTGGATTTAACTCAATGCATAGTAAAATCCTAGTGAAGACAAAGTAGATTTTTAGTTTTTACGAGAGTTAGCAGGTCATCTAGGCAAACCTTAGGTGCCCCTGGCCTCTATTCTTTAACTCAACCTGCTAACACGTGTTAAAATTACGAACTGCCTTGGCTTCACTAAATTTTACTGGGTATTAGCTAACTTGGGTTAAGAAGACATCCTTTTTCCTAGTGAATATTCTCCCTGAAACCTAACAACCTTTTATTAATGTTGGACTAAGGGATTACTTTCAGCTTGCTTTTCACAGTTTGTCAGGTAAAGTGTTACAAAAGGTGGCTTGCTCAGACAGACTTTTATTTGACAGAAGGCAAAAAAGAGGAAGAGAGGACAGAAGAAAAGATGAGAAGTGGCACACTATGAAGTGGGTAATACCAGGCAGGTGCACATTTGAAGTGTGTTCAAGTTTCAGCACAATCCAATAAAGGTAATGTCATCTGGTTTCCTCACTCTGGTTCAGTCTGCTCAGGATATCTTTCATGCTCAGAACAGCAAAGGCTTTGATGCACCCATTTGATACAAAATTGCCAATCTCAAGCATTCAGAAATCAAACAGGCCACCCAAAATAATGATATTGGCTTGAAATTTTTGAAAATAATAAATTTTTAGTTCTTTTTCTGTGCCTTTTGGTTTTTGATCCTTTAGGGTGCACTCAGGTCACAAGCTTTCCTCTGCAACAATAACAGTTATAAACTCAGGGTTTTTTTAAATGAAAGCTTGGATTCCCACATAATCACATGACTCCGGGAACTGGGATTTAAGGAAAAAACACCAAATATAAAATTTGCAAGACATTTGGTGTGCGTATGTGTGTGTGTGCGTGAGCCATGATGGTTGTGGATCACTGACCTATGGTGATCAGTGTGACGGGTTGGATCACAGAAACCCCCTTGGGATCTGCCACCTAATGTACTAAGGCTACATCTAAACTACAGGGGGGAGTCGATTTAAGATACGCAAATTCAGCTTTGTGAATACCGTAGCTGAATTCGACGTATCGCAGCCGACTTACCCCGCTGTGAGGACGGCGGCAAAATCGACCTCTGCGGCTTCCCGTCGACGGCGCTTACTCCCACCTCTGCTGGTGGAGTAAGAGCGTCGATTCGGGGATCGATTGTCGTGTCCCAACGGGGCGCGATAAATCGATCCCCGAGAGGTCGATTTCTACCCGCCGATTCAGGCGGGTAGTGTAGACCCAGCCTAAGACTACCTCTGCTTCTGTTTTTCCTGCCATCTTAGGACTTTAGCACCCTGTCTTGCTGAGCCAGACACTTCCGTCTGCTCCAACACAGACCCAGGGTCTGAATTACTTGCCCCAAAGCTGCAAGTTTACCTGAAAACAGCTCACAGAAGAATGCTTGTCTATAGCACTTAGATGCCCAACTCCCAATGGGGTCTAAACCCAAATAAATTCGTATAAACCCTGTATAAACCTTATGCAGAGTAAACTTATACATTGTTCGCCCTCTATAACACTGATAGAGAGATATGCACAGTTGTTTGCTCCCCCAGGTATTAATACATACTCTAAGTTAATTACTAAGTAGAAAGTGATTTTATTAAATACAGAAAGTAGGATTTAAGTGGTTTCAAGTAGTAACAGAAAGAACAAAGTAAGTTACCAAGCAAAATAAAATAAAATGCGCAAATCTATGTCTAATCAAACTGAATACAGATAATCTCACCCTCAGAGATGCTTCAGTAAGTTTTTCTCAGACTGGACACCTTCCAGGCCTGGGCACAATCCTTTCCCTGGGTACAACTCTTGTTCCAGCTCAGGTGGTAGCTAGGGGATTCTTCATGATGGCTCCTCCCCCCCTCTGTTCTCTTCCACCCCTTTATATATTTTTTGCATAAGGCAGGAACCCTTTGTCCCTCTGGGTTTCCACCCCCTCCCCACTGGAAAAGCACCAGATTAAAGATGGACTCCAGTTTAGGTGACATGATCACATGTCACTGCAAGACTTCATTACCCACTTGCCAGCACACACATATACAGGAAGACTCACAGGTAAACACAGCCATCTGCGGATAATGGGAGTCATCAAGATTCCAAACCACCATTAATGGCCCACACTTTGCATAATTACAATAGGCCCTCAGAGTTATATTTCATATTTCTAGTTTCAGATACAAGAGTGGTACATTTATACAAATAGGATGATCACACTCAATAGATTATAAGCTTTGTAATGATACCTTACAAGAGACCTTTTGCATGAAGCACATTTCAGTTACATTATATTCACTTAATATCATGTTTTTATAAAACCATATAGACTGCACAACGTCACAATCAGTTCAGAAGCTTTGCTGTTCAATCCACCTTCCTCCACTCCACCCATGTAAGCAAGTTGCCCAGTGATCCTCCAAAAATTAATTTCCTTAAATAGGCAACAACCTTATCCCATGAACATTGCCTGATCAAAACATGTTTCTAGAGATTCCAGTTATGAATATATCCTTCCAATTCTACAGTCCCCCAGCTTGAGGCTGTGTCAACCTGTGACTTCCTCTGCTGTTTTGTATTGGGCCCCACGTGCGAGTTAGGCTGAGGAGTGTCTGTATTTCCCCCCATTTGTGGATTGCAAGCAGAGATAGGCATCTTCTTGCAGCCTGGATTTAGGCACCTATCTCCAGGAGAGAGAGGCAGGGCTTAGGACACACCCTCATTGTCAGCAGCACCCATTGACTAGTTTAGGCAGCTCCCTGCTTAATGTGCTGGTTTTGTGGATCCTAATCTAATGCATCTATCTCTCCCTATTCAGTGTATAGGAGCCTAGGCTTTGTGGATTGGAATGTTGTTCCTGTGATTTTCTAGGTCCCTGAAAGTAAGCACCATGATGCTCAGCATTGCAATGCCTGAGTCCTTTCATAGATCTCATCCTTTGCTTCTGTTATTGCTGCTGCTTCTTAACCTGCTTCCACTTCCCCTGCTGATCAGTGCTCCCTTTGGCACTCTCATTGAAGGAGGAGGAAGAGTTGAAGTCAAGGAGGCAGCAGCAATGAGGGAGTTTCAGCAAGATGCCCTGCCCATCTTGACCAGTTCCCAAAAAATGTAATCAGAGGTGAGGCTAGAAAGCTAGAGTCCCTAACTAGAAGCTGGAGGTTAGACAGATCTGGGAATGAAGTATTAGGAGGAGAACTGGGGGAAAGAGAAGGAAGTATAAGAAACCTGGGTAGAGAAGCTGAGGGATTGTGGAGGACGCTGAGGGGAAATGAGGAATTGTGAAGACTAAGGCCATATCTATGCTACATAGTTAAGTCGACTTATGTTGAAAGCTGCTTTAATAACATCAGTTGTGCAAATCCACCCAATGCTCCTTGTGTCAGCATAGCACACCCAGAGTTGGTGCTCTTGCATCGACAGAGAGAGTGTCGCATTGTGGATAGCTATCCCACTAGGCAACTTGCCACCCTGTGTCACCCTTTGACACTGATAGCTCTGGGAACAGATCATGGTGCATCATGCAGGCGTGCTCGCTATCCCACGATGCAGTTCTTTCTGTCCCATCATTCTATGGGCTTCCAACTTTGTTTCGTGCCATTTTTCAACAGCCCTTGTAAGCTGAGCGCCCGTCATCTCTGCCTGACAGCATGGATGGATCCTGAACTGCTGACCAGTCTAGTGATGAGCATTATGAACACAATGCAGGTAGTCCTGAAGTATTTCATGAGCTGTGAAACCGAGAGTGAATCAGTGATGCCTGCCATGCTGTCTGCCATGGAAACAAATAATTCAAGATTGCTGCTGGAATTCACGGAACAGCTGCACATAGTGGACCATCAGTACTGGGATAGGGAAACAAGCACTGAGTTGTGGGATCACATCGTGATACATGTATGGGACGATGGGCAGTGGCTGCAGAACTTTCAGATGTACAAATCCATCTTTGTGAAACTGTGTGCAGAGCTCACCCCAGCTCTGCAAGGACACCAGAATGAGAGCTGCCCTTACTGTGAAAAAGTGACTGGTGATCGCTATGTGGAAGCTGGCAACTCCAGACTAGTACTAATCAGTCACAAATCACTTTGGAGTTGGAAAGTCCACCATGGGGGTTGTGGTGATGCAAGTGTGCAGGCCCCTTAATCGCCTCCTGCTACAAAGGATTGTGACTCTTGGTAATGTGCAGGAAATAATTGATGGCTTTCAGGCAATGGGATGCCCTAACTGCAGCGGGGTGATACATGGAACGCATATCCCAATTTTGGCCCCAGACCATCTTGCAATGAAATATATCAACCAAAAGGGCTACTTCTCCATGGTCT